AGAGAAGATAGACAATATGAGAATTGTTAGACTATCTGAAAGTCATGATAAAACAAAGAGTATTGACACTGTGCTTCAAAAATTATTAAGGAAACGCTCTGACTTTTTAGAATGAGAGGGCAAAATAGAAAGAGAAAAAATATATCAATCACCATCCAAAATAGATTCCAAGATGAAAACTCACAGGAACACCAAAGGTAAGTTTCAAAAGTTCCCAGGTGAAGAAGAACATTCTACAAGCAGCTAGGGGAAAAAAATATTAAATACTGTAGAGTTACAGTCAGGGTAACACAAGATTTAGCAACTTCTACATTAAAAGACCAAAGTGCAAGGAACAACACATTCCAAAGAGTGAAGAAGATGGCCTTGCAACCAAGAACAACTTATCCAGCAAAGCTGTGTGTTTTCCTGAATAGAAGAAAAAAAAAAGTGGATAGGAAAAAAATGTATATTGAATTAACTGAAGGACATTCAAGTATTTGTGAAGAAAAGACCAGAACTGAATGGGAAAAAAAAAATAAATGACTTACTAGATTCAGGAGAAATATAAGAAGGTAAATATTAAAGACTAATTATAAATGACTTAGTAAGGCTAAAATTTTTACTTCTTATATGGGAAAATATCATTTGTAACTCAAGAATATTTTCATTATTTGAGTAGTTTGAAAGAACATACATAAATAGAAGGCTTGGGTTTGAGTTGAATATGATGAGATGATTGTAAAAAATAAAATTAGATAGGGAGAAGTAAAATGAAGCAATTATTTCATACAAAATGACACATGAATGGAAGAACTGTTACAATGGAGACAGGAATGGGTGGAAGGCAGGTAGTGCTAGAATCTTATTCTCATCAGAACTGGGTTAAAGAAGAAATATCAAATAGATCTCAAAGGGTATGAAATTCATCTTAACTTACACAGAAGTAGGAGGAAGAGGGGATAGATTAAAGGAGGAATTCTTAGAGAGTGGGTTAGGGAGGCAGTGGCTAAAAGCCAATTAGAAGTTTGGAGAGGGATAGGGTGAAAGAAAAGGGAGATAAAGATAAACAGTAATGAAATTAGGATGGAGTAATACACAACTGATAATTATAAATTTGTATGTGAATGGGATGAACTCACCTAAAACAGAAATGGATAGCAGAATGAATTAAAAACTAGAACCCAACAATATATTGCTTACAAGAAATACATTTTAAAATGACAAACATAGAGTAAAAATAAAGGGCAGAGTAGAAGGTATTATACTTCAGTAGATGCAAAAAAGCAGGGGTAGTAATCATGAGCTCAGAAAAAGTTAAAGCTAAAATTGATTTAATTAAAAGAGATAAACAGGAAAATTACATTGTGATAAAAAGTACCACAGATAATGAAGCAATATCAATATTAAAACTATATGTACCTAATGCTATAGCATCCACATTTAAAAAAAAAAAGCTAAATGAATTACAGAAAGAAATAGATAGTAAAACTGTGGGACTTCAATCTTTCCTTCTCAAAACTACATAAATCTAATTAAAACATAAATAAGAAAGAAGTTAAGGAGATGAACAGAATCTTAGGTAAACTAGAAATGATAGCTATCAGGAGAGAATTGAATGGGAATAGAAAGGAACACACCTTTTTCTTAGCAGTACATGGCCTTTGTAAAAATTGACCACATAATAGCGCATAAAAATTTTATAGTTAAATGCATGATATAATAAAATTATATTTAATAAGTGGTCATGGAAAAAGAGATTACGTATTAATTGGAGACTAAATATCTAAATATTAAAGAATGAGTGGGTTAAATAATAAGTTATATAAAAGATACTTTTATTAAAAAGAATGCTAATAATGAAACAACACAGCAAAACCTATGGGATGCAAGCAAAATTGGCAATCAGAGAAAAATTTATATCTCAAAATGCTTATGTTAGTAAAATACAGAAAGAGCAAACCAATGAATTGGGTATGCAATTAAAAAAATAGAAAAAGAACAAATTAAAAATATTCAATTAAATGCCAAATGGAAAATCCTAACAAATAAATAAATAAATGTGAGATTAATAAAATTGAATGTAAGAAAACTATTGAATTAATAAGTAAAACTAGAATTTGATTTTATGAAAAATACAAGAAAATAGATAAACTATGTTTAATATGATCAAAAAAAGTGAGAAGATGAATTTTACTAGCATCAAAAATGAAAGGGGTGAATATGTCACTAATGATGAGGAAATCAAATTAAAGAATATTTACAAAAATAAAAACTGCCTAGATTAACGGCAGAAAAAAAACAGAATTTATGAAGAAACATTTTAGGAAAAAAAAGAAATTGAACAGGCCATAAATGGGCTTCCTAAGAAAAAAGCATCAGAACCAGATGAATTTACAAGTGAATTCTATCAAATATTTAAAGATCAACTAAGTCCAATATTATACATATGTGTATATACATACACACACATACATACATATATATATATATATACAGACACACACATATTTGGAATAATAGGCAAAGGAGTCTTACTAAACTACTTTTATGAAACAAATATGGCACCAATACCTAAACCAGGAAGAGCAAAAACAGAGAAAGAAAATTACAGACCAATTACATTAATGAATATGGATGCCAAAATCCTAAATGAAATACTAGCCAGGGGACTAAAACAACAAATCACAATTATATACGGTGACCAAGTGGGATTCACACTAGGAAAATAGGAATAGTGTAACATAAACATAACTATTAACACAATTGATTATATCAATAATATTATATCAAAACAATCATATGATTACGTGAATAGATGCAGGAAAAGCTTCTGACAAAATTAAAAACTCATTTCTATTTAAAAAAAACTTGAAAGCATAGGTATAAATTGATTTTTTTTCCTCTTAAAATGATAAAAAGCATATACCTAAAACCCTCACCAAGTATTATTTATAATAGGGATAAATTAGAAGCCTTTTCCAATAAGACCAGGAGTGAAATAAGGATGTCCATTATGACTAATTTTATGCAATATTATATTAGAAAAGGTAGCAATAGCACCAATATAAGAAGAAATTGAAGGAATAAGAATGGACAGTGAGGTAATAAAACTATCTCTTTTTCCAGATGATGGGATGATATACTTGGAAAATGCTAGATATTCAACTAAAAAGCTAGTTGAAACAATTTAGAAAACTACTGGCATATAAAATAAATCCACATAAAGCATCAGCATTTCTATATACCACCAACAAAACCCTGCAAAAAAAAAAAGATAGTAAGAGATATCCCATTTAAAATAACTTTAGACTGCATAAAATAACTGGGAGTATACCTGCCAAGACAAATCCAGGAGCTACATGAACATAATTATAAAACATTCATTATACAAATAAAGTCAGATTTAAATAATTGGATAAATATTAAGTGTTCAGGAGTGGGCAGAGACAATATAATTTTAAAAAATGACAATTCTACCTAAACTAATCTACTTATTCAATGCATCCCAATTAAATTACTGAGATATATATAGATATAGATATAGATATAGATATAGATATAGATATAGATATAGATATAGATATAGATATAGATATATAGAAATATAGATATATAGATATGTACACACACACATATATATATATACATATATACATATATACACACACATATATATATATATATACATATATATACACACACATATAGAGAGAGGAGAGACAGAGAGAGAGAGACAGAGCTAGTAAAAATGATAACAACATTCATTTGGAAGAACAAAGATAAAGAATGTTAAAGGAATTAATGGGGAAAAAATGTAAAGGAAATATGTTTAGCAATATCGACTATATTATAAGGCAGTAATTACGAAAACTATCTGGTACTGGCTAAGAAATAGAAAGGTGGATCAGTGGAAAAAAGTACTGATACAATACAGAATAGCAAATGATTATAGTAACCTTTTCTTTGACAAATAAAATGTTTAAGCTTTTGGAATTGTATACTACATGGTAAAAAAAAAAGTTGGGAAAACTGGAAACCAGGCCAGCAGGAATTGGCTATAGATCAATATCTTGCACCATTTATCAATGGATACGTAACCTAGATATAAAGGGAGATAACAGAAGAAAACTTAAAGAACACGTTACTATCAGACTTATGAATAGGATAATTTTTTTTAATAAACAAGAGAGAGCGCATTGTGAAATATAGAATACTTTTGATTACATTAAACTAATATAAAAAAGTTTTGTACAAATAATATACAAACAATGTAGCCAAGATTAGAAGGAAAACAGGAAATTGGGATATAAAATATATAGGCAGTGTTCTTATTGTTTTTTTTGTTTGTTTTTATAAAGGGCTCATATCTCAAATATATAGAGAACTAAGAAAAATAATAATTACTGATAACCAGTGCTTTGGGGAGATCCAGAGTTCCTCCCTTTTTCTAAAGTGCTGATTTTAAAAGTTCGTTCTGTTGAAGGACATTACTGATAAAGAGATTGTTTTGTTGTGGTTGTTATTGTTTTTGTTTGGAACACACCCAGGTGGGGAAGCCATTGTGTTCTGCTCAAATGTAGGTAGGGGATATATTCTTTGAACAGATTGCCCAAGGCTGGGGGTAACTTAAGAAGTAAATGACATAATCAAAGTTTAGGTCCAGCCCTTCATTGTAATATTCTTTGTCTTATTAAGTGTTAACCAATCAGAGTTGATTGTCACTCTAGCAACACTCATCTTCTAATGGGCATATAAGTCATGAGCCTATGGAGAACTGAGTTAAATTTATAAGAATACAAAGCATTCCCCAATTGACAAAAGGTCAAAGGATATGAACAGGCAGTTTTCAGAAGAACAAATCAAAGCTACCTATAGCTATATGAAAAGTGTTCTAAATCAGTATTGATTAGAGAAATGTAAATTAAAACAACTCTGAGGTAACACCACATATATATATATATATATATATATGTATATATATATATATATATATATATATATATGTATGTATTTATATATAAATATATATAAATAGTTCTCAAACTAAAGCGCCAAGCATTCTAACTCTGCTTCAGAGAGCGTAAAGCTGATGGGCTGGCCACATTGTTTGAATGCTAAAGCTAGGCTTGCCAAAAAGTCTATTTTATGGAGAACTCACGTAGGGCAAACACTCACATGGTAGTCAGAAGAAGCAATACAAGGACGCTCTCAAGGTTTCTCTGAATAACTTTGGAATTAATCGTCTGACACGGGCGACGTTGGCACAGGACCGCTTAGCATGGCATGCCCATATCAGAGAAGGTGCTGTCCTCTACGAGCAAAGCAGAATTGAAATAGCTCAAAAGAACAACAGAACGCACAAATTTAGAGAAACCACCCCAATAGTCCTCAAGGGCTATTTGTGCCCAACCTGAGGTAGAGCGTTCTGGGCGTTTACTAGCATCATCAGTTGGACACAATGAAACTCGACTCTAGCATCGTGATGTCATCTTGGTTCTGTTCCAGAACGAAGGAAAAATTATGACCCTACTGCACTGTTGGAGCTGTTAACTAGCCCAACCACTCTGGAGAACAATTTGGAATTAGGCCCAAAGGGTTATTCAACTGTGTGTACTTTTTGATCCAGTAATTCCACTACTAGGTCTAAGAGATCAAAGGAAAAGGAAAAGGGCCTAGATATACAAAGTATTGATAGCAGCTTTTGTTGCTGTTGTTGTTGATGGCAGTGAATTGGAAATTGAGGGGATGCCCTTCAATGAAGGAATGGCTGAACAAGTTGTGGCATATGATTGTGATGGAACACTTTTGCTATATGAACAAAAAAGCAATGCTTTCAGTAAAGCCTGGGAAAACTTATGTGAACTGATGCAAAGCGAAGTGAGACAAACCCGGAGAACATTGACAAGGGAACAGCAATGTTTCATGACAAACATCTGTGAATGACAGCTGTTTTCAGCAATACAATTATCTAAGCTCATCCTGAGGACTTATGATACACAAAGTTATTCATCCCCAGAGAAATACCTGATGGCATCTGAATACAGGCAGAAGTAGACTACTGTTTTAACTTTCTTTATTCTTCTTGGGTTGTTCATTTGGGGTTTGGGGTTCGTTTTCTTAGGTCTGCATTTCCTTTTGCAACATTGCTATTAGGAAAATGCTTTGGATGACAGGACACGCATAATCTATAACAAATTGCTTACATTCTTAAGAAATGAGGAGGACAATATGAAACTTAAAACTTAAACTTCTGAAAAAAATGAATGTTAAATTGTTTTAATGTAATTGAGAACAAAATAAAATAAAAATTTAATGTCAATAAAATGCAAACAAAATAGATCCGTTCTATCATAGCAGACATTCTCTTGCTTCAGAGAATGCTCCCAATGCCCTTTGACATGAAATAGAAATCACTTCAAGAATGTGAATGAGCTAGAAAGGAAAGAATTCCTTGGGGGTCCATAAGGGATGTTCATATGAACACGATGACTCTTCATGGCAGCCACTTTGTCCCTGGCTTCTTGAATTCTATCCGAAGCCTTCTGAGCAGCAATGGCATTGATAATTAATTTCTCTTCTAGATGTCTTTTATGTATCGCTCTGATCCTAATGGGAGACAAAATGGCAGACAATCCAATGACATTTCAAAAATTAAAATACCAGAAATTATGAATAACAAAATTACTTTTGATAATGATATTACTAATAACCAACAGCTATGCAGTACTTTGCAAAAACACTTTAAAATGTTATCTCATTTAAGCCTTGAAACAACCCTTTAATTATATTAGCTTCTGTTTAAAGATGAAGAAACGAAGGTTCAGAGTTTATGAAACTGTCCCGGGTCACCTCATATTTATAACAGATTCCACACCATTTCTGGTGCACAGTAGGCTCTAATTAAGTGCATCTCTTCTCCAAGAAGGATCCGGACCCAAGTGTTCCTTCCTTGCAGCCCAGAATTCTCTTTTCTCTAGCTAATTGCAACACTGTGTGCATTTCAAAGACTTAAAGAATTACGACAACCTATCTGAGTAGAATGCCTAAAGGTTTACACATGGAGGAAGTATACTATTAGCCTGGTTTGATAGACAAGGAAACCACATGCTCACAGAATGAGAGTGACTAGTCTAACTCAAACACAAGCAGTAAAAGCAGAGCTGGCATTTGAACCTAAGTCACATCCGCCCCGCTCCAGATCCAATTCTCTTCCACTGAACCACACGGCCCTCACGTATCATCAGGCTCCTTCTCACCTTTTATCGTGTGCTAAGTGCTAGAGACACAAAGACAGGCACAGACAGCCCCTGCTCTTCAGGAGCTCACAGTCTGAGGGTGGGGGACAGCAGGTAAACAACTGCTACTAATGAAATACAGGCGGGAAAGATTGGATATGACTTCTGGAGAAAAAGGCTCTGAGATGAAGGATGACTAGAACAGGCTTCTTGTGGAAGGCAGGACTTTCGCTGGGACTTGAAGAATCGGGGAAGGCAGGAAGGAGAGAAGAGGAGTGAGAGGGCTCCAGGCTTGGAAGACAGCGCGGAAAGTGCCTGGAGCTGGGAGGTGGAGGGTCTCCTTCAGGGAATAGCCAGGAGGCCGGTGTCACTGGCTGGAAGAGTAAATGCTCGGGGTGCAAGGTCAAGGGCCCTGAGGTATTAAAGACTTTACAAGCCAAGCAGACGAATTCTACTTGATCCTGACAGCAGCAGGGAGGCCCTCGATTTGATTCAATGTGGGGTGACACGATCAAACGTGCTCTTTCAAAAGTCGTTTTGCTAGCTGATTAGAAAATGGACTGGAGTAGGGAGAGACTTGGGATAGGCAGGGCCAAGACAGTTCCAAAAGATTCATGTTGAAAAACGTCATCTACCTTCACAGAGGGAACTGATGAACTCTGAGTACAAACTGAAGTAGAATTTTCTCACTTTATTTTCCTTGCTTTTTTAATATGGTGGAAATGGAAATGTTTTGCATGATTTCACATGTATAATTGTGATCACATTGCTTGACTTCTCAGTGAGTGGGGGAGGCAGAGAGAGAGAATTTGGAACTCACAATGAAAAAAAAAAGAATGTTAAAAATAAATTATAAATTGCAAAAAAGGAAACAGAAAAGGCTAATCAGTCTGTGAACACTTATGGGAACAACCTGCATTGAGCATCTATTGAACACAGACCCTAGTAAATCAGTCCTTGTGGAATAAAACAAGTTACCACCTTCCCCTAAAACTCCTGACTCAAAACAGGTGGTCAGTGAATAGAAAAGCAAAGCAGCACATAGCAACACTAACAGTGGCACTTAGCAAGGCCTCTGCCGCTCAAGGCAGCTCCAGGAGATGCTAGAAGTAAGTGGGGCTCCTTGAGAGACCTGGTTCAGGCCTATAACAGCTCCTGGTTACTTTTAAAGAAACTACTAGGTGATTGGTACCGTCAGATTCTTATTCATGATTCCAACAGAGGTTCCAAACTGGTCCATGTACAGTTTCTGGCCAAAGCTTTGAGCCAGATGCCAGGCTTTCCAAAAAGCAGATCCTGCCCTGCTGTGAACCCACCCACCTGGGAGCAGAGGCAGAGACCTTCAGAGCCTTTGTAGTGAAGGAGGAGCATGTTCGTCTTGTCTTCAGCATTAGTTTGTGTAGGAGAGCACGGGGTGCCCCACTGGGGATTCCCAGTTGCCTTCAATACCTTCTCAAGTCTCCTCTTCCTCCCCCTCTTTTATATTCTCCACCTCAGATGAGAACTTTATCCCCTCTTTTATAAAAATATAGGATTAGAGTTGCAAGGATGACATGATTGTAGACAAAGAGGTTGAGGGGACCTCCCTTGAGGTGGTCTGGTCGAATTCCTTCCTTTTGTAGATGAAGAAACTGAAGGCCAAGGAAGTGGTGGCATTCCTGAGATCCCACGCGAGTAGGAAGAGGCCTTTGAGGTCTTCACATGGTCCAGCCTTCTCATTTGAAGAGCTGAGTGAACAGAAGCCTAGACCCCTTCAGTGACTTTCCCAGGGCCAACAAGGCACTGAAACCAAAGGAGAGAGACACCACAATGTGACAGAAAGTGGGATGTCTAGTAACCAAGTTGAATTTGAGTCTATGTCTTTTGACTCCTAACACTCTCACTTCTCTTACACCATGAAGGCTTTTCCTTTTCTCTCTTACATGAATTGCAACAGAATGAGGTCTCTGCATGTCCAGTTTGATGCTGAAAATCCCTGGAATGAATGTAGTCAAAGGGCTTCGCCAGTGACCGAGAGTCAACATCAGAATTAGTGGAATTCCTAGAATTCTTAAATTCTCTGGCCTGTCTGAATTTGTGCTACATTTCTGTCTCTGAAAACATTTCTAGTCAGTTATGACAGCTTACAGGATATTGGGAGAGAGGGTGGCCCAGTGACAGGGTGGAGCCAGGGCTAGGTTTGAAGTCAGAGGACCTGGATTCAAAACTTGCTCTGTGACCTTAAGCAAGACACTTAATCTCTCCAGGCCTCTGAGAAAATGAGGAGATCAGACTAGACTTCATGTTTAGATCTCTGACCCTGTGATGCAGGGCTCTCCCTATGTTCCTGAGAAGGACACCTGTTTTCCCGTGTGCTTTCAACGGCACATTTACAATAGCATCAGGGAGAGATGAGTCGACAAAGATCCACAAAGAGGGCTCCCTTGACTCTATCCTCTACAGCCTGATGATGGCCACACATTCAATTTGCTGGGATAAAAGCAAATCTAATTCAGTTTCCTTAATGTTAATTTGCATTAGATTTGGAGTCTGATACCTTGCACTTGCATTCCTTCCATTTTCAAAAGCCAAATAGTTCATTAAAATGAGTCACTATAGTAACTTTAGCTTGTTCCCAAAGGTTACAAAGATGTAGGAAACAGTGTATGTTATGATAGAATGAATTTAGGTCTAAAAATGAAGGAAATGCTCTGGTATTATTGGTTTAAATGAATTTGTGTATTTTTTGTAGTCATTTCTAAAGCACTTTTCATACTTAGGGAGAGCACACTTATAATTAAAGTACCACCCTGAATAGTCTCAAGATAGCTTATGAAAAAGGAAAGGCAGATGTTGTCTTCGCATTTGTCAAAAGGAATCATGTTGAAATGATTCAAACTCATCCTTGCTCTTATTTAAAACTGCTTTTGAGAGCACAATGTATTTTTAAGGGAAAACATTTCAGAATTTAGATTAAATAGAGTAGCTATAATTAAGGGTCTGCAAGCATAAATATTACAAGCATCAATTTGCTGGCATTTACATAATGTGATCATTTTAAATCTTCTTGGCATAAAACCCGGACAAAAGGTTGCTAGACCAATAAAATATTGATTATTTAAAGCATGATTCAGTAAAAATTTTTCAAGGTTTCATATTTCAAGTTTTCATGGCTATTATAACCACCTGAACAGCATTCAAACACTGAGAAACACTCATTTCCCACCAAAGATCTTTACAACTAACTGCAAAAGCAATTGTTCTCCTTGAGAAATCCAAAGTTTAATTAATGAAAAAAACAAAGAAAAGAAAAAAGGAAAAAAAAGGAAAAATGTGAATCAGCTAGTTTTACATTCACTAAATACAATTTCTGACACATAGTAGGGGTTTAATATATGCTTGTTGATTCATTAAACTTATTCATGGAAGAAATAACAGAGAAATGCAATTCCTGTTACAAAGGGAGAAACTGAGTTACATGACCAAAAAAAAGTTTTGTTCTTTGCTATAAAATAAATTAACATCTGAAATTTCAAAAATAGATCTCCTTCTCTCCCCAAATCTCTGGAATAGTCAATGTGTCTCATTGAGAGTCCTGTAGAGTCTTTCTTGTTTTTCTCGTCCTCATCCACCCATTGCTTTCCATTATCACCAACCCCAGACCAATAAGGATTTTTAAAATAAACCAAAAAAAGAACATCTAAATTTTTTTTTCTTGCCCTTTTTGTTGACAGCAGCACAGGCACAGAGTGATGGTTTTACTATCAAAAAAAGAGAGAGAGAGAGACAGCTAAACATACAGGAGTATTACAATTATGTGTGTGTATATGTGTATGTATATATATATATATATATATATATATATATATATATATATATATATATATATATATATATATAGTGTATATATACACAATGCTACTTGCAGCATACTATTTCACTGCTCCAAAAACTTTAATGACTTCTCACTGTGCTCCAAAATTAATCCAAACTCCTTCACCTGGTTATCCTGACCATTTATAATCTAATACCAGGTAGACTTCCAATTTGATTCTCCACTACTCCCCTTATGAATTCCCTGCTACAATAATATTGTTTTACTCACTATCTATGAAAACAGTCTTTTCCTTCCTAACTCCAAGGCATTATTCACAATATTTCAGAAATGAAAAGGACCTCAAAGGTCATTTAGTCTAATTCATGCCTAACAAAGCATCCCTTCTGTCATGTATCTTGCCAATGGCTATCCAGGCTTTACTTTTTAAAAGCATGAACTGAAAGTTGCCACTTTCTAGGTAAAACATCCCATTTGTGACTTCCTCTAATTGTGAGAAAGATCTCCTTGCATAACATCTAAATTGACCTGTTGCCAGAGACTTTCACTGCTATTGA